GATAAATCAACTTGTCGTTCAGGAATTTCCTCAATATTTAAAGTAGAAGTACCTGCCATTGAACTGGTCATTTTATCTTGTATCGGTGTATCTACAGTCGCTTCGTCATTACTAAAAGTTAAAACACGATTAATTTTGAAAAAGATGTGTTTTTTGAAGAAGCGCTCGAACTTTTTTACAGCCGAATATACTTACTCATCAGTTTGAACTCTAACAATTGAAAATGATGGACCTGCGGCATTATCAGGAAATAAGGGAGATGCAGCCTCTAAATCTTCAGTCAATGCAAACGAAGAATCTATCTCTCCTTGAAGTCCCTGGTTGGATTTTCGCTCTCTAAAAATTCAATTTTCTAATTCAAATATAATTTTTCCATGCATCCGCAAAACAAAACATATGATACACTGAGAAAAGTCCCAGGAGAAAATTCTTTGCTGGTTTTTTTTTTAGCTGTTACAGTGGAAAATGTTTTAGAGGTAGCAATGTTATTTTTGCTTCTACAGAAAAGACCACTTTGCTGAAACTACTTTATTGAAACTGCAAAGATATTTCTTATTCCAAAACCAAACTTTGCTGTTATAGCAAAATTAAAATTTTATGAAAATATTTCTGCTTCTCCGAAATAGTTCTTTTCTAAGATAGATAGATACTTTACTGTTGCAGCAAAAAAAAATTCCTGTAATTTTTGTTATTGTTACAGTAATGTTTTTTGCTACCCTAGCCAAATAACTTAACTAAAAATACCGTTCGGACATTTCCGTGATTTCTTCGGGTCCAAAAATAACCGATAAAATATGTTTCGTGTTCATTTTCTTCCATTTTAGTTTAGTAGCTAACGCCGTACGGTGTGGATCGTGGATGCTGTCGAATCAAGTCGAGTGTCGGTCGCTGGGAATCTTTTTGGCAATGGTGCCAGCGCATCCATCAATACTAGCAGAAACAACTCTAGCGCCAAACTTTTCATTAATTGACATTATTTCAGATCAGGTAATGAAAGTTTAGGGGTTTAAATAGAGTTTGTTTATCTCCTGGTTTTGTTATGATGGACGCGCTACTACATATTTCCAAAGATTTCCAGCAAAATATTTTTGCTATTGGTGAGACAAATAACTTCCCATGGCTAATAAAACACTTGGCTGATTCTGGCAAGAAATTTTTTGTTCTGAGACAAACGCTTTCCTATTTCAGGAAGAACAACAATAGTATTTTACATTATTAGCCAGGTAAAACAGTTTTTACTGGCGATTGAAGGAAATGACTAGCGAGCCGCTAGGCGAGCTTGTCACCTTCAATAGCCAGTAAAAACTGCTACCTGGCGTATAATGTACAATAATTTATTTGTTACTTATTTGTAAAAGATATAGGGACAAATAAAAAATCAATACATAACAAAAATTTGAAATTTATATGTTTTTCCTTGATTTTTTCTCACAGAAGTTTTGGTAGTTGGTATAACTATGAGAATGATATGTTGTTAAGACGTTGTTTCTAGTTATAAATAGGTTTTTTGACAGATTTCCATTTTGCAATTTTTTTCCAGAAATGAATTTATTACAAGATATTATTAATGAAGCCTCAGTCGTAGCCAACAGTTTATCACCAGAAAAGTCTCCCAGAAGGTACCTACAAGCAATTATTCTTGTGATAAAACCGATTTTTCAAAAATAAATAATTCTACTGACTTGTAAAAAGTTTTTACAGTTTAGCTGTCAATTTTACAAGTCAGTAGAGCCAGTAGCTTGTAAAAATCAATTTTCGCTGGTTATGTTTTGACTTGATAAGTGACGTTTTACAAATGAGTGACAAATAAATATCTTTTCTGTCTTAGCAATCTACTTTTCAATAGCAAAAAAGGATGTTTTTGAGGGTATATAACCTCTTTTCTAGGACAGCATAGTTACTTTCCTACGACAGCAAAGTAGCTTTTCTATGCCAGCAAAGTGACCTTGTAGAAACTGTGAGTAAATTCTTTATAAAGTCACTTTGCTACCGCAAATAAACGGTGCCAGTAAAGTTATCTTTTCGGCGGTAGTAAAGATCTTGGCTGTCCCCTATGTAGCCAAAATTTTTGGCTACGGCAGCAGAAAAATTAGCTACGACAATGAAAAAATTTTCTCAGTGTAGATAGCTTCAAATCAGGCCATTACTGGACTAGGCTATTCTTATAAGAAAACCTTTCGTTATGGTTCACAAAAGGCGAAAATGAATAATCAAATAATTTGAACCAAAAAACAAGGGCAAGACCCGAAAATATTTTTTAACGCCAACCATCTCTAGAGCTATACATTACCATGGCAATTTCCGGAAGTAAAGAATGGTATATTGTGTATTTGGGTGAAAAAGTGACACATTCTCGGCCGACGCTGTAAGCTGACACCGGAAGGCCGAGAATGTGATTTTCCACCGAAATACACATAGGTACTATTTTCTCTGCGATCGGTTAAATATCTGTGAAATGTTTGTCTTTTTTTCCAAATTGGGTATTCAGCAATACGAGAATCACTTTCCCGGCCCAGGCCAGAAAAGTGATTCCCGTTTCGTTATTCATTGATTTCTTAGCAACTATTAAAACATAATTAAAATACCAGACTATTGAGTTGCGACCTGTCAACCGGTCAAAAATGCCGACATTTTTTGTCAATCGCAGAAAATAGTTATTTATGTACCATGGCTTGTAAGTGCTACTTTTTTGGCCGAGGATGCAGTTTGCAAGCCAAGGCCCGTAGGGCCGAGGTTTGCAAGCATTTGAGGCCAAAAAAGTACACGCTACAGTCGAGGTGCATATGATATTTTTTGTGCTACCGTACATTCAAGATAATAAATATCATGAATTTGCTGGTTCGCGAAGAAGATCCCAAACTGATCCTGAACGCTAAGGAAAGAATCACATCAAGAAAAGCCATTGATATGAAACAATATCAATGGCTTTTCTTTTACTTTCAAAATTACAAAGTGAATAACTGAAGTATCTCATTTTTATATTATTGCCTATCTGTTCATGCTAATTTCAACTTCTTGACATCTAGGTATTTTCTATTTGTTTCAATGAAATTGTACCTACGTATTCTTAATTTGTTTTGGGTTTTTTATTTAGAAAGTCGAGTGTTTTTTGTGACATTATTTTGACAGAGATATGAACCAAGCAATTTTCACCTTTCATATCAACACTTTTTTGACCCGGTCAAAAAAGTAACCAAAGTGACACTTACAGTTCATGGATGTAGGTCAGAAAAGTCAACTTACAGAATGGGTAGCACACTTTATTTTCCTGATTTTACCTGCCGCATTTGCGGCAGACGAAGTATTTTACCTGCCGCAAATATTTTTGCAGAATCCTATTGAGGAATTATGTGCACGATAGAACAAAAATCGCGGAGACGGTTTTTGGCAACAGTCAAATAAAATTGACACCATAGTTGTTACCAATGATAATTCTAATAAAGAAGGACCTACACATTGTTAAGATATTGAAACTCCTCAACTTCAAGAACTAATTCATGTCATTCAACACTTTGTACATTCACGTTCAATATAACAAACAATAAGTAGATGTGTACTGTGTTTTGATCTTATAATAAAATGTGTTAGGTTCGATGGTTAAGTTATATCTTCATTTTTTACAGTTATCAATTTTAACGGTTGGCGATAAAGTTTTGCATGCACCAATAAAGTGTCTTTTATCGAACTCGCCCTTTTACTTGCCTCGCTCGACTCATAATCTCAGACTCGTTCGATAAAGTATCACTTCACTGCATTGTACTATTATGTTATTTTTTGTATAAGCACCACAAAATTAAATTACATATCTTATGTTTTGTTATTTCCTGTATACTTACCCACCCTAATAGTAACATTTCTAATAGTCTCACTTACCTAATTTTTTTCAATTTGTTTTTCACACTTTTACGACGCTCGTTGGTGGTTAGGTTAGGCATATTTTCAAACAGCAAATACAACACAACTCGGCAACCGCACAAAAATAAATGAAATAACTAACCTCCTAGAATAATAAAATTAAACCATTCACAGGCCCTGCACCCGAAAACCCCACCCCCAGGTACCTAATTAATGTAATATATTATGCATTATTTCTGTGAATCTGAGTCAAAATATTCCAACTGTCTTTAGGGTTATTGGTACCTACTAAATTACATATTGATAACAAAATGCTGCTTTTACTTTACTACCTGCGAGGAGGCAAATTACCAACATCCCTTATAATATAATGCTTGCTTCATGGAAACACAATTATGAAAATTACCGGACCTAACCTACTGAAGGTACCTACATAATTTCTTAACCGAAGCAACAAAGTAATTAGAAGACTTTGGTCTACTAAAATTGAATACCTATATCTGCTAAATGGAAACGAAAATAAAAATTAATTCAAATAATCAAATAGCGTATATTACACATAATAAGATTATATATATTTCGTGAAAACTTCTAATCTTTGCTCGACTCGCATCATAAGAAATTTACGGCAAGGGAAAATAATGCAGCGGTGAAAATATTTATTGTAGTGTAATTTTGTGTTCCATTTAGCTTTTTAGGCACGTCGCGATTGTCTAGCTTTTCTTGAACTTTCGTCTCGCGCTTGGTGACTAAATAGCTAGCTGCCTGTATTGGAGCCTTAAAATATCTCGAAAACCGTTGAGACTGGTTTAGAGGTAAATAATGTTTAATCGGTAGCGAATGGGCTCTATTCTACTTTCATCTCCTTAAAGGCAGTGCAAACGAATACATCCACTTACCAGTCAACCTATATGTAGGTACAGATATTAACTTCCATCCCGTGGAAAAAATAGTAGTATTCGTAACTCGGGTGGAAAGTGCCGATTTTCCTCACTTGATTGCTTGCCGAACTCCCCGACACTTTACGCACTAAAGAAAAACCTTACACATTTTTCTCTCGGTTTTTGACCAGCTTTTCAACTAGCCCATACTCAACCTAGATACTTATTTCAAAAAAAGTTGGGATAAATAAAATAAAACAACAGTTTGTGGGGAAAAGTATAATTTCAAATTGAGTTAATATAAAAAGTAAATCTTAAAAAGTAAAACATAATAAAAATAATAAATTGATAATAAATATTAAAAAAAAATGGTTTATAAAACAACTATTTATCTATGGGAATACAAAAAAAAAACAATACCAAAATGACAAACACATAATCTCAATCAGGCCTATGCCACAGCATCCTATGATATGATGTATCATTTTCATTTATTTTACCAGCAACGTTAAGTTATCTGTCACTGTTTATTCTATACGTAAAAATAGAGACAGGTATAGATTTTGAGCTATAACACAACTGTTAAAATAACAGGACAGGATACATCATAGACCTGAAACACTCAAATCAATTAACAAAAAAAGACTAAAAAAAAAATACAAAATATTGCTACATACAGTACAATCCTTAAAAAAGGTCCAGTCGATATTATTAAAAGCACTGGGAATGTAATTGTATTTTATTGTATTTTTTTGGTTACAAATTAGCATTTCACTTGAAAAAAACTCAGTCTTTTAATAAACCATACAAACATACCTGTTTAGGCTAAAACTCTTACACAATCACAATTTATTTCAGAACAATGCAAGGCAATTGGGAATCAAAATCTTTTTGTTTTTCTCACATCCACAAATTCAAAATTAAGCTCGGAACTCGAAAAATAGGCATCTATCTTATTGTGAATATTATATTATTATATTTTTTAAATATTTTAAGCAAGTTTTTTAAAAGGTTATTCTGTGAACATTTTCTTTTCAAAGCTTCCACCTCATTTCACCAAACTTAACGCGTTAATAAATATTGAGTTCATAAATTAAAAAAAAAAGGCGTTTCTTAATGAACAATTAAAATATTTTAATAAAGCAAACTTAATGACGTTGCTAAAGATTTTTCTAGAATAGTGTGTATACATAGAGAGATTATTTCAAGAGCTCAGTCGTACAGTGGCAGAACTGTCAGTAACAAATCATACCTTCTTGATTTTTGAAAATTGCTGGGGTGTGCAAAGCGATAATACTAAGTAATAATAATAGTTAACACAGTATAAATTTTATCTTCCATAGTCTCATTCTTGAAAATCGTTTTAATCAAAGTCTCAGCTAGATTCGGGCACGAAAATTTCAATACTGGGCTGGCTAGGTTGTTGTTGTGCGGCTTTCATAGCTTTCCTGCGCTCCTCAATCATCATTCTTCTTTGTTCTTCACGCTGTTTTCGAGCTTCCTCTGCGGCAGCTGACGGTTTTACCTTCAATAATATTTTGCGCTGCTTTGGTGCGCTCTTGCACTTGATCTCTACTTTTGTTTCAGTGTCCTGTAAAAGAAAAGAGAATTTGATTACGATAGCCCTATTTTACTTACACAAAATTGAGTATGTATGTATTTCATTTATCTGAAATGAAAGTTTATCCAAGTTACTGGGTGGGTAATTCCTTAACTGAGACACGTTTGTCCTAATAGATGATAAATCTTTTGCAAACTCTAAACATCACTATAAAATGTTCCTTACCAATATGATGTTAGGAAAATGTAATTGATACATACTTGTTAGCTGCCAAGTTTGTATTTCTGTTAGGGTAGTATGGAAGAACGCTAAGCAAACGCTAAGCAAACGCTACCTATTGTCATTTACATATTTTTCTTTGTATTTTTGCATAAAGAACTTTTCCTACGAGCGTGCGCAAAGTAGTACTTTTCCGCACGCATTACAGTTCTCAAAGTTTCGCTTTTCCGCACTCAGTGCGGATACGGGCCTTATCCGCACTGAGTGCCGAAAAGTAAAAATAATTGTCAAGCAACAATCAATGCACCTGTCGACTTTGACATATGATGACAAATTTGTTCTCTGTTTCTATATCAGCCAACATCTATACAAACACTGAATATAATCTGACACATTGTCAGATTTGTGTTCCCATTTACATGCAAGAATCTACAAACTTCTTTCGCATCAAATTTAAACGCTTGAAGATGAACAGCTCTGACGAGGATTTCAATTTTCTGTTTTTCTGTTATGTAATTTTTTGATGAATGAATAGGTTCGCTTCAAGTTAATTGAAAATAATTGCACAAATTATCGTTTTTTTTTTAAATTTTTGTTGTTACCTACCTGATATGAAGCTCGTAGGAAAAATTTTGTTCCTAACACGTGCGCAAAGTGTCTTTTCCGCACGCAAACACTTATCCGAACTCCGCTTCGCGTCGTTCGTATAACTGTATTTGCGTGCGGAAAAGTAACACTTTGCGCACTTGTTAGGAAAATAACTATTTTGTCTATTCTATTTTTCTATTCTTTTCTGTATAAAAGGGAGGTTTACTTTTCGGTTGTGCAATCTCATATTTCCTATGGTCTGTCATTTTGAGGTTGCTGTAACCAGTTTTTGTTTCAGTTGTCTTTAACTACAAAAACGTGTATAAACGTTACATTGCGGAAACTTCTACAAATCACTGCAACGTTTTGAAGATTTTCAACGCAGATTTTTTGTTTTATAGAAATTTGCTGGAAATATCTTGTTTCTATTAGACGTTTTATGTATTGTTTGATGAATTTGTATTAAAGAATGGTCAAATTTACTAAAAGCGATTTCAATTTGATTAATATCAACGCCCTTTGGTTAGTTATTTGAAGATTATTGATATACATTCTTTGTTTTATAGAACGTGAAGATCTTTTTTTTTTTCTTAATTTTTTAATTTTATCTTCAAGACTTTGAAACCTATAACCTATATATCTGTCTTTAATTGTTTTATTTCCTACTGAACTATTATAACCATATAATACCTTGGTTACGATAATCATAAACAGGGTCCTAACTCCCAAGGGAGTTAAGGATTTCATATGGTTTATGGTTTATTTCTTTATAAAAATGGACAAAATAACAGTAAATTCAATAGGAAATAAAATTATCTATGTACCACGGGAATTATCAGGTGTTAATACCCACGGGCAGTTGATGTCCCTCGGGACGAATGCCCTCGGGACACAAACTTTGCCCTGGGGGTATTAACACCCTCATAATTCCCTTGATACATAAATAACTATTATTTCCTACTGAACTATTATTACGATATAATACCTTAATTACGATAACCATAAACAGGGTCTTAACTCCCAAGGGAGTTGAGGATTTCATAACTCCCGTGCAGGAGTTAAGGATATCATAACTCCCAAGGGGGCTAAGGATTTCCATAACTCCCGCTTTTACCTTGAATAGGTGAAACTTTGACAAAAAATAAAAATTTTGGTTTATGGTTTATTTCTTTATAAAAATGGACAAAATACAGTAAATTCAGTAGGAAATAAAATTATCTATGTACCACGGGAATTATCAGGTGTTAATACCGTCGGGACACAAACTTTGGCCTGGGGTATTAACACCCTCATAATTCCCTTGATACATAAATAACTATTTCTACAAACGTGTTAAAATGCAGTTTTTAACACCCCCCTTGTAGCATTAAAAATGATATTTTATCGCACTAGTGTTAAAACGGTTAAAACTATTTAAGGCACTATAGTCTGGGAGACGACCGCATTTTTCCTACCCCGATCGAGTTATGTGTCGACACTATTATCAATATACCGGGTGACAACGAAATCGTTGTACAAGGCGTCATTCAGTTGTCTATCAAGTTAAAAATTTGAAAATTGGGTGGAACGGGTAAGTCATTGAGACGCACATTTTTCGTAAAAAAACAATTGAATATCACTTCGGGTTACTCCGGAAATGGACCAAAGTCAAGAAATTTTTATGGAACCCTGTATATTTTTTTACACAGTTGGATAGAGCTTAAAATTCCCTTTCCAATGACATATCACAACTTGCATTTGTTTCCAAGATCCTAAGAAGGTATTTTTCTTAAATTCAATATGGCGGCATTCTGACGTAACCGATAATGTTTCTGTCAAACAAACACTTTTAACAAACCATAATTTTTAGATTTGAAATGGTTTTAGATCGAATTTGAAAAAAAAAAATGATTTTGCTCGAAAACGAGGGCATTTCAAAATTTCTTTGAAATGCAAATTTTAGTTTCAAATTTTCTAAAAATTTTGAATAGGAAGAGGTACTTATTAAATTCTAGAATCAAAGTGTGTCCAATGGCTCACCGAAAAATGTCTACCAAATTGCATATTCATTTTTCGGTTAGGTATTCAAAGGTTAGGTCAGAATGCCGCCATATTGAATTTAAGAAAATGCCTTCTTACGCCGCCATCTTAAAAACAAATTCCACTTATCATATGTCATTGAAAAGGGAATTTTAAGTTCTATCCAACTGTGTAAAAAAATATACAGGGTTCCATAAAAATTTCTTGACTTGGGTCCATTTCCAAAGTAACCGGAAGTGATATTCAATTGTTTTTCTATGAAAAGTGTGAGTCTCAATGACTTACCCGTTCCACCCGATTTTCAAATTTTTAAATTTAAAGACAACTGAATGACGCCTTGTATAACGATTTCGTTGTCACCCGGTATAGTATTATGTGCATCTATTAACCTGTATTCCTGCCTGAGAGCAAATGCTGCCGGAAATATCTTTCAGCAAATTATTAACAAATTGAAAAAAACGTAACACTACCCCCATCGAGTTATGCCCTAAGTAGGGTATCAGATTGAAGGTCTCGATGTCCCCTATCTAAAAAGTCGATCCTGCCTCGTGAGAATTTGCCGGAATAGGGTGGCAGGACAGCTTATTGGGGCAAGGGCCCGCGGTCTCTGCTTTGACACCTATCAAGCTTTGCACTAAATGATGTGTCAAATTAAAGGTGTCAATGGGTACATTCAGGCGGTCCCAGCGGCTAAGCTCAGCCACTCAGCAGGAACTTTATTCTCGAAACCAAGGAACAGCTTTCTCATAAGAACGATTGCTCTGTCATTGTCAGTGTTATGCCGGACGACAAAGACAGAACCAATGAGAACGCTGCTCCCCTGTTTCGAGAATAAAGTTCCTGCTGAGTGGCTGCACTACGCCGCTGGGACCGCCTGAATGTACCCAATAAGTTGATTTAAGGTCTGTTCGCACAGAAATCACAAACCAGTCAGAGCTAATTTCATTGGTTGGAAACAGTCAGGAAACTAGTTTCAACCAATGAAATTCACTCCTTCTGGTTCGGGATTTCTGTGCGAAGAGACCTTAAATCAACTTATTAACACATTTAATTTGACACATCATTCAGGGTAAAACTTGATAGGTGTCAAAGCTGAGACCGCGGACCCTTGCCCCAATAAGCTGCCCTGCCACCCTCTTCCGACAAGTTCTCACGAGGCAGGATCGACTTTTTAGATAGGGGACATCGAGACCTTCAATCTGATACCCTACTCAGGGCATAACTCGATGGGGGTAGTGTTACGTTTTTTTCAATTTGTTAATAATTTGTTAAAAGATATTTCCGGCAGCATTTGCTCTCAGGCAGGAATACCGGTTAATAGATGCACCTAATACTAAAATGCGTTTTTTTTTTTAAAGATAAAAGTCAAAATGACATTATGTTGGCAATACAATGTAAAATTGTCAATGCTCTCAAATTTGTTATGTAGAAAAGGGTTGTGTTGCCAACATAGTTACTAAATTTTTGACTTGGGGAATTATCTTTAAAAAAAAAGAGACTTTATATATTGATAATAGTGTCGACACATAACTCGATCGGGGTAGGAAAAATGCGGTCGTCTCCCTAACTACTAGTGTTAAAAATGGAACCTTTGAATGGAACATCAAATTTTGAGAGCAAACGTCAAAAAAAGTTTGTATTTTTAGTTATTTACACTAATATTAATGGTAAAATTTGAACAACTGAGGAATCTCGATTGGCCGCCTCATCTATATTTTTCAAGGGATCGATGCAACCGTCTTTTTCTTCTGTATTTTCTTGCACTACTGAGACTGACCACGACAAACTTTCCAGAAACTGACCATAGAGAAATATAATAGTAGTAAACTACGAGAGACGTTTGTTTAAGAGGCCAACAACAAGCCGTTAAAAATTGAGAAAAAGGGTTGATTTCCCGAGACGAGAACTCACTTATTTTGTAATATTTTTTGACCGGATTAGAAAATAATAAAAGATAAAAATCTAAAGAATAATGCTGTTGTTTTAGTTTTTCGAAAAAAAAATTGCAAATTGAAAATATCACGACCTAAATACTCGAAAAAAAGCATCATTTCTATCGCTCGGTACATCCAAACCCATCGCTTTTTTAAAAAAAATGAAACAAGAGCATTGTTCTAAATTTTATTATCTTTTCGAATCTTCTTGATTCACTCAAAAATATTAAGTAGTTTTTGAGATCTCGTCTCAAATTGTAAGCCCTGCAA